TTTTGTAACATTTAATAAAAAAGGTAAAATTTTTCTTTTAATATAAATCCATCCTAGTTTTTACTCTAGATTACATTCTAATTTGTGAAACTAAGAAAAATAAAAGAAGAAAGTGCTAGACATTTTTTTCTGTAATGCTTTCATTTTGGTCTTAACTTTAAAAGGAAACTTTTAAGAACAATTATTTGAGCATTACACATGGGGAGTAGTGATTTTGTGAGCATCTCAATATTTTCTTTGATATGAGAAGATTATGAGATCAGTAGTAACTACAATGTGGAGCATCCTTAGTTAAATATGGCAGCTCATTAACGTGTGGATTCTAGGCAAAGGTTGTGTTATAATTGGAGTCTAAGTTGCAAAATACGCTTGACTCCAAAAATCCATCATCAATGTTTCCAAGGTAATTGCCTATAAAGATGTGAGAGTGGAGATAGGAAGAGCCAAAGGGAAATGAGCTGGGGATTTACAGAGATTATGGGCAAGGCATGGTTACACATAGATGAAGAAATTGGACATTTGGTTTACATTTACCTAAGTCTCCAGTATCTGGGTTACATGCATTTCATGTGTAAGATAGTATATGTGGGTGTGGGTGTGTGCATGCACATAACTGTATGTCTAGAAAATGGACGTTAATTGAATGGAAGAATCAATTGAGTTTACAAAGAGATTGACATCATTGTTTGTTCAGATGAATCAGAGTTATAGTTCCAACCAGAGGCTCATTTAGAGGAATGGAGTAAGCCCACAACTTATCGTAAAAACTCTGCTGATGAATGCACATAATCCCAGAGTGCTCTTCACAAATAATTTTTGAAAGTTAATTTTCCCAGTTTGGGGGGTTGGGGGGGAGGGAAGAATGACTAGAGAAAATGCTGAGAACATGACTTAGTTGAAGGCTCACGTCAAATATTAAGGCTAGTGATAACAAAGGAGTTTTAAATTGAAATTAGAGATGTGGTTGAAAGAAATGGTACAAATGGAAACATGGAAAAGTATGAAAGAAATTTGAAATAATTACTATTTCAGTTCAATTTAGTAAATATATATTGAATAGAAATAGACTATAAATAGATTTGCAAGAATACAAGGATGAGTAAGAGTCCTTTCCTTCTAGAAGTTTATAGTTATAGAGGAGGAAAAATAATTTCCCCTCTACACTTCTAAGTTCTTGGCTAAGAAACCCTGTAATAAAACAAACAGATTAACAGGAGAAAAACAAACAGAAGTTTAATAACATGCATACCTCCTGTATACATGGGAGATATCCATGGAAGATAATTCCCCCAAATGTCCAACCCACACCTTAAATACCATCTCCAGCTAAAGACAAAAGAAGATGTTGAGGCAAGTAAAGGAGTCAGTAATGGAAGACTACCAAGGAAAGCACCATAAACAAGTGTAAGGTTGCTGTGCAGATTTAAGTCCTCTACTGATAAGACTTTCTAGAGATTTAGTCATCCTTCTCTTCATGATACAGAGAAGATGACACCCTTACAAATGGAGATTTTTCTTATTAACACCAATATCTCCTTTAAAAAAAGGTAACTTCTATGTGTTTTTCAGAGCTTCTGTGTCTGCTGTTTCTTAAAAATAGCCATTTCAAGAGACTCAAAGAGGCATATTTTGGGGTGGCACATTCTGTTCTCCTTCACAGTTTGCCACAAAAGAGATGAGCATTTAGCAGAAACCGGGGAGTGTAGAAGTAGATGAAACTACTGTCAGAATTCAAACTTGGAAAGGTTTACTTTTATAAGGCCATAAAATATAGTCTTTTAAAAAATGAAAGTGTCAGAAATGACAGAAACGGAGGTCAAAGGGAGGATGGGAGGCAGATTCCAGATGGTAGAAACACCACAGGGAAAGCTTTAGGTTTTAAAGTATTAAAAGGCTAGAGAGCCCCGGAAGCTATTGATGAGGATGAGGAAGCCTCCGCAGGTACAGGCAGAAATCGTCTGAAACAGAAGAATTCGTCAAGTTGTTTCTGAACCTTCCCATCTCCAAATTAAGTAAGTCTGTGTACAGATCACTATTTCCAAATGACAAACTTTCAGGTATTTCTGTAGATGGTTTTAAGTGATTACCTAATAACGGTCTAACTTAATTCCCAGTAGAAGCTCTGAAATCTACATAGGTAGGGATGCAATCTACAGGTGCCCAGATAAATTATTTAGATGTGTAAATATACAAACCTCTTTAGACTTGGTCACTTGTGGTGACCTCAAACTGGAAGTCCAGCACATGAGGACTACCAAAGGGTGATGTTCAAACTCTGTAAGTTATTTTAAGAGCTAAATAAATGTTAGCAGGATTTTAAGCAGAAAACCTTTAAGTTAAAAACAATTAGTGCACCTAGGTGGTTCAGTCAGTTAAGTGTCCAACTCTTGATATTGGCTCGGGTCATGATCTGATGGTGAGATCATGGTGAGATGGAACCCTATGTTAGGGTCTGTGCTGACAGTGCAGAGCCAACTTGGGACTCTCTCTCTCTCTCTTCATGAATAAATAAACATTAAAAAATAAAGTAAAAATAGTTTACTCATCTGTATAGGAAATCAGCACCTGAATCCTGCTTTAATGGAATCATTAGGGTGCTTTCTAGAATATTTTTTTAAAGGCAAATATCCACATACAGACTACCTTCTTAAAACAAATCATTTAATTGGCTTTTCTGTGGCTTGAAATCATCCGGGCTAAAAAAAGGGAGGGGCGGTAATAGATTATTTAAAAATTCAAATTAGAGACCAGATAAAGTTTACTGTATCATAATTTGACCACAAAAATTTACACATCTTTTTTTCCCCTAGATAAAAAATAGTGTCTAGCATCTATTTGATTTTGGATCATTTGACATTAGTTAACACATTTTCCCCCGATTCTTTCAAAATTATTATACATTTAAAACAATTCTCACATTTACAGCTATATTCAAGTGATATTTTGTCAACATTTCCTTGAGCTTTATTTATTAAACGCTTCAGGAGAATTAGGAATCACACTTTCTTTTTACAAGTAGGCTGTTATCGCACATTTTTTAGAGATTATTCTTTGTATTGACAATCCAAAAGCAGACAAAACAACTAATTTAAATGTTGTACAAAGAATAATAATATAAAATTCCTTTATTTTTTATCAAAGTGGCTTAAAAAGGATTCTATCACTAAGATAATGAACAGAAAGTAAATATAATCCTCAGAATTTTAACTAAGTGTAAATAAAAAAGCCTTTTAAACTTCTGTTGCGCCCTCTTGTGGTAGGAAAGCAAATGTTTAGAAGTATATATTTCACATTTCTTTGCCAATTAATTACCCTTCATATAAAACTTTTTTCAAGTGAGTCATGTTCAATGATGCATTTTATGTTAAGTTCGTGAAACAGACTAAAAAGAGTAGAAATATGTCACCTATTGTTAAATTTCTGAACATTAAATTATATGAATGTTTCCTTGCTATTTTAAATAATTATTACTTTTGTAATTAATGCCTTTTCTTAAGTTTAAGATAAAAGAGAGAAGTTAATATCATAGAATATACCATAAAATATAAATCAACTCTCTACAGAAAATAATCCAGATTATTTTGTGTATTGTTATTACTTGATTGATATATTTAAAAAGTGAACAAATCTCAGACACTTTTATATTCAAATATTCATATTCCTAACAGCCTCTGGTTTTCAGATCACTCCATGTAACATAAAATACTTAATGCAAGAAGAGAGCTTCATTCCAAGAGAGTAATTATTTTCCTGAGAACCTAGGAAATGAGCATCATTGTAGCTTACAAATTACGATGTGAAGACACTGTCTCAGAAATCTGACATTGGTAGATGGTGGTTATTTCGGATTGTTTTCCTTTCCAAAAGTACAATTTAATTTTCATGACTATAACAGGGAAACAATTTATGCAATGGTGAAAAATGATGAGAAAATGTTATAAGAAGAATAGGATATAGCATCAATGAATACAAAAGGGCAGAGCAATTCAGGCAGAAAAAGAGTAAAGTATCAGAAAACATAAATTAGTGACATAATAATATGTATTTCCACCTATTAGTACACAAATAATTTATAGTTGAATTTCATAGACATGACATTGTTTTTTAAAGACATTTAGCCAATAGCCAGCATACACAATTCATTCTCTCAGTTACTTAAAATAAAAACATTTCAATGTGTTAGGAAATAATGTCTTATTCCTTAGAGCTACTAGTTTTTCTTTTTTAAAAAAATTTTTCTTTCTTTCTTTCTTTCTTTCTTTCTTTCTTTCTTTCTTTCTTTCTTTCTTTCTTCCTTCCTTCCCTCCTTCCTTTCTTTCCCCCCTTCCTTCCTTCCCTCCTTCCTTCCTTCCTTCCCTCCTTCCTTCCTTCCCTCCTTCCTTCCTTCCTTCATCCCTATATCTTAACTGATTCTCTGATCATCTTCCAGTTTCTCCCTTCTTCTAGCATTCATTATCTAAAACTTATATTAGTCCCTAAACCACAAAACATTTGCTCACAAGTGTGGGTTATCAGAAAAGAACCTCAACTCTTTAAGAACTTCCAAACCTTAAGAATCAGTAATTTCATGCATTCATCCCGGAGATTGTGTTTATATTAGAAGTAACAGATCTCACGCTTCACAAAATCAAAATAACAATTTCTTGGAGTCAGGAATGAGAGGAAATGGGGCAAAGAGAGGTATTGTAAGTTTTTCCCAGTATGTTGTATATGGAATTGCTTTTGAATGACTCCTGTGCGTCAGAAATCCGGAGCAACGGTGGCAATTAGGGAAGATGTCACTTTCATCTGAAGTTCAGAAGTGGGGGAGGAGAGTGGGGGGGACAAAAGAAAAGGAGAGGAAGTGGAGAGAGGAGAGGAGGGATAGAGATGAAGGAGGGCACATCCTGAAAAGATAATCCCTGTACTATCATGACATCATCCCTCTGCATGTATATATAGGGAATGGCCAAAGCATCTCTCATAGTTCACTTTCAAAGTCAGCTGAAGGCAGAGGAAGAGCTAGAGAAAGCCCCCTTCAGTGTGCCTGTGACGTTTAAGGACTTGGCTTGCTAGAAGGCTCAAGATGATGACAGCAATGAAAATCCAGCTGGTATGCATGGTAGTGCTGGCTCTCAGCTCTTGGAGCCTTTGCTCAGGTAAGCGCTGCTACACTTCACAGTTCCCTGAAGTGATTTCTTTTTCCTTTTTTTTGCACTGTGCTGTTACTGATGTTAATGCAGCCAGGGAGAAGAGTTTCTCTTCTATTCTGTTTGCTTTTTAGTGATAGAAACTGAATATATTCATTCTCTGTCTTTATGATTACAAGAACTGAAAGATTTCCTTCCTCTTTTTAAATCAGCAAAATAATAGAAGAGATTTCAATGAAACCCTTCATGCCCTCCGTTTGGAATGTAACCACCAGAGTAGGAAAAAAAAAATATGTAGAACTTAAATTAGGCTGGTCCCTATCTGATGAGAAGTACAGATGCAGTGCCTGTCAGAGTGCAAACCCATAGTTAGAATCCATTCCATTCAAAATGCTTTTTCTCATTCTTGGTCATTCTCTCAGGAAGCAGTAGCAACTCCCTCCCCCAGATTATTTTCTGAACTGTGTGTGTATGTTAACATGCAAATAAAGTGAACACTGATGTTTAATGAGTAAATGAATGAACCATTGTTTATAGAAAATTATTTCTAAAAAAGTAATAAATATTCCAAGTATTTTTTGAAAATACATTTTATATAGTCTATGTGACAAATAGGTATATTATTAATTTAATTTTTGCATGCTGTTTAAGTTGATACAAAATGTAATTGGAAAATTGGCATGTTCATATTAATAAAAATTATTTACCAGTAGATTATTTTGCATGTGATAATTGAGAGACCATGTACTGCTCAGTATCTATCAGTAACTTACCTTGAAAATAAGATATAAATTTAAAAGAGTAACATGAAATGTTGCAATATTGCAATATGTTCCCATTAATGTTTGAAAAATAATCGACTGATCACACCAAAGTGGAAAGAATATATATGGGATAAATGCAGCAAAAATCATTTAACCTGTTTTATACTTTGGTAGTTTATAAATATAACATTGAAATGTTTAATTCAAACCTCTGCTGATTTTATTTAAATTATGAAATTAAATCTAGCAGAAGGTATAAGTGTTATGCAGCAAAAATTTTAATTTATTTTGATCACTAGAAAAAGATCTTGAACTAACTTTGCAAAATTTTTAATGATAAAAATACCAAATTTCCTACAATTATGATTTTATCTATTATAGGAGGTTACAGGTACAGGTAGAGTGTATGAGAAAAACTGGGTTATTGATTAAACGCTGTGTTCATTCATCTATTAGAACTTATTTATGTGATAAACCAAGATTTGTAGGGATTTTAGTATATATTTTTTCATAAATGGCTAAAGGAATCTGTCACTCCTTTGAAAAACAGATTCAGCCTTGAACAAATAGGAGAAGGTCTCTGGTGTATTTATTTCCTAGATACGGTGTAAGAAGTGGTTTCTTTATGTGTGACTCTTCTTTTTAATAACAGTGTACAGTGCAAGGAAGGTAATCATTGTAACCTCCACTTTGTTTTATGATAGATCGGAGTGTATGAATTAAGTCATCTAATTACGGTGTTCTATAACTCTATTTCTATTACTTATATATAGTGCTCTCTAAAGTTTTCTTCTCTGCAATATATTCATTAGTGGAAACTGGAATAGATATCCTATAAAAAGTCAGAAGTCCATTTTCAACACAACTACACATGTGCTGAAGGATAGCTCCACTTTTGCTTAGCCAATTTGCTTAATAACCTGTGATTAAATAGCTAAATACATAATTCTGAATTCTTATTTAAAGTAGAAAACCATATCTTTCAAATTATGTTTTGTAAAACAGCATCTCATGTTGACTAAACCTCAGTGTCTTTCTTATTCTAAAATTATCAGTAAACAATTCCTTTTGGTTTGTTAAAAAGTCTGTTGTATACACCTTTTCATTATAGTGTGTTTAAAATATCAATATGCATATAGTCTATATATGTAAACTATTGTTGGCAAAAGTTAACTGGCATTTTTAATGAGATCTCTATTATATGATATGTAATACCATATATTAATCATGTATTATATCATATATGAAATATAACCAGCTTTATTTTTTAATACTGAGATTCAGTGATTAAAAAACTTCAAGTCATCAATAGTTCTCAAGGCATATAATCTTGTGTTTATTTTCTCATAAGTGCTTCTATTATTCTAGCTGCTGGTTAGCCCAGAATAAAACCATAATTATATTTTCTGAATATTATTTTAAGGATAATAAATACATAGGAAAATAATAAGCCTTTAAGACTACTTTTTTGAGATTAATCTAAATTCTGTAGGTTACAATATAATTATATATGATTATATAGTAAACATGTGGTTTTGATTTTATTCAGATTCAGAAGAGGAAATGAAAGCATTAGAAGCAGATTTATTGACCAATATGCATACATCAAAGGTAACTTTTTTTTTCTTTAACCAAGGATTGAAAACTCTGTAAGCTCTTATTATAAACATGGTGTCCTTTTCCTATAGTGAATAACTTCCCATCAAGACTAAAAAGTTCATTGAGAGGCATTTCCTCTTTTGGGAAATTTTCCTTCAGTTCAAAGGAGTTAAGGGTGTTGTTGTGACAGGGACAGAAATTATAGTGACTATCAATCATTATATTGTAACTTTAATGAAATAGTCATATATTGTTTATGTGGAGATGAAAATGTATTTAAAGGAATGTTGTTTCCATTCCTACCACATTGTGTATGGCAAAAAGTATGCTTCAAATTAAGTATATACATGAAAACTAAGTGACAGTTTAGCCTTTTTTGTTATATTGGAAAGAGTAAAATGGAGTTCTAAATTAAAAATTGAAGTTCATGACAATTCATGAAAGAAATGTGGTAGAGAGTAAAGATCAACAGACTGGCAAACAGAAGCTTTGAGATCTAATTCTGCAACTGTGACTTATGAACTACCTGATCATAAGCAAGAGGGTTAGTTAACATCGTTTGCCTTCATTTCCTTATTTTTAAGTGCTGGATTGAGGTTCATGGTCTCCTAGACATTTACATTAAATCTATGCCTAGATTCTCCCTCTAACAAAAGTGTCATCTACACCTGCTTATTGCTGTTACTGAACCAACTGAAACTTTGTCTACTGGACCGTGTTATTCCTCTTTGGGGGTCTTGAAAACAAGGTGCCTAGATTCCAACCTGTACTTAGGAATAAAACACAATTAAGATATACGTGATTACCATGCTACCACACAGAACTGATTTACCTAGAGTGAGTCAATTAGTGTATATCTAAAGGCAGAAATAGAGAATGGGGTTCTCAATCAAAAGATGTTTCTCAAAGAAAAATAAATATTGAGTTAAGCAGAACCCTGGTACAATCACTATTATAGCCCTAGGATATCAAGGCAGAGGTTTCAACAGATATTATCGTAAGAAAGTAAACACTCAGACCCATCTAATTTCTGAAGCAATACCTCAACTCCGGTCCTGTACTTCAGGTTTCTCTCCATTCACTGGGTAAGCACATTCCAGGTACAACAATCCCTATTATATCTGTAGAATTGTGTGGGTAGAAAGGAAAATACCCTTTTTTGGTATGTATTTGGGAGTGTGGAATATTTTTATCTGAAAGCTAACAAAGATTCATTGTCTGCTATGATCCTTAAAAGCCATTTGGGAAAAATTTAAGTGCATATATTTTCACCATTGCCCAGATCTACAAAAGCTGAAAGAACTGAGACCAATTTTTTTTTCATAATTGTGTAGGTTTCATATCAGGAATGATCAGATTTAGTTTGGTCATTAAACCTCAATAATCAAATAATAACCTTAAGATAATGGATCCTTCACTGAATACTTAGAGTCAGAGGAGCAATGGTTACAACTGCTTCATCTCTATAATAGGAAGACAAGTGAAGCCAATCATCTACATTTAGAAATGGGACAGGTTAGAAATGACTTAATTACAGAGTAGAGATTTTACCTCTATAATTCTAAATTTAAATGGACACATCAAAGTCCTAAATAATCCTCAAAATGTAGTATAGTTTGGAGAGTACTAGCTACCTTGTGAAAATGTGGAAGTAGAGTTGTGACTCCTTCCCTAGAGTTCCAAGGGAAAAACAATCCCAATTTATGGAATGGTTTAGTGTTTCTTTTTTAAAAGAAATACATAAAAATACAGGCACAATAGACTTTTTCTCTTTTATTTAGTCTTGGAATATGTCTCTAAAACAGATCATGGAAAAAAAATTGAATCTTGTTGCCTCCTTCCAGTTGAAATAAATAAAATAGAGTCTATAATGAGAAAGCACCCAGAAGCATAATTACTTCAATTTTTCTGTTAGGATGGGAACAAAAAGATCATTCCTTATGTTTTACAAAACTACTGTGATTTCATTCTCCTTGACTCAATTGATTTTTGGTGTGTGTAGCGTTCTATGCAAATGAAAACTCCAAACTTATGAATATTTTAGCTAAATTAACACATTTAAAATTGTAAGAGATTAATATTTGATATTGGGAGAATTACGTTATTTAAAGCTTCAGAAAGCTTCATTTCTTTTTTCAATTTTACAGATAAAATATGTGAAGTATTTTACTTTTAAAGTAAAGGTATTTAGACCTTAAAATATTAATGTGAAAATTTACTTAAGCAACAGAAAGTTAAGCGAGAGGCCAAAGCTTGAAAAGTGGAAGATATTATTTTTTCTCATAATACAATTCTTTTTATTACCAGCACTAGTACTTTCCTATTGCTCTATTCAGAAAGAGAAACTGGTATATAGTTTGTTTTCTTCAGGATCTCAAAAAGCTGCTAAAATGTTGTAATTTTCTATGATCAAACTTGATGCCTCATATACAGTAGGAGTTTAATAAATATTTTTGACCTAACAATGGGAATCTAGGATTCATTATTAACCATCATACTTTGTATTCAACTATAAAACTTCAGAGCTCCACCACAGATGACTTTAATTATTTTCAATTCTGTGAAATGCTTGAATTCACAATTTGCTGGACTTATCTGAGTTCAGTGTATTACAAGGAGTAAGTCATAGTCATATGGATTAGCTCCTATTTAATTAAGGCAACATAAATTTGGCCAGAATCTCATTTAGTATTAAAAAGTTAAATCAAGTAATGGTAAGTAAAAACTACAAATATTCTTGTTTTCCTTATCTTGAAACCAAGAAGAGATAATATTCTAAATTTTTTATCTATAGGCTTAGGTCTATTATAAACATTTGTATAAAATAATTTAATAAGTAAGAATGTTTATTGTTAAAGAAAAATTATTCATGACACTAGCTAAACATAATAGGGGAGACTTTATTCAAGAGAAATTACTAAAATGGGAGTTTGGCAGAGATTGGGCTCAACTCCAAACACAACAATGGCAAGTGTGCATTTATAGCCAAGAAGCACGTGAGGGTTAGTGAATGGAATGAGGAAACATTAAGGCTAGAAAGATTATTGCCAGAAGACACAAGATTGTGATATTAAGGACAAAAATTTCATCAATTATCTGATATTTGATCAGATATCTAGGGTGATCAGATATCATGGGTGAGTCATTTGCAATAAATGGGCTCAGCAACCTTCTTGCTAAAATTGGACTAAGTGGATTAAGGGCCAAGCCTGAGGTTGGGACCTAGTCAAGAAGTGGACTTAAAGGAGCCTGATTCAAGGAAAGAGAGTCTTTACCATTTTCCTGAAAATGTTCTCAAATACATGATGTCTAGTTAGAGATTCTTCAGTCAGTAATGAATTCTCTGCTGGCTGTATTTCTAATGTGACTTTAAATAATTGTATTATTGCATCATGTAGTGACTATTTTAACTGACAGAAGGAAATCAGATGACTAATTCAGTCTCCTCATCTGAAAGAAAGAAAGAAAGAAAGAAAGAAAGAAAGAAAGAAAGAAAGAAAGAAAGAAAGAAAGAAAGAAAGGGAGAGAGGGCTGAAGGAAGGAAGGAAGGAAGGAAGAATCAGATAACATTAGTCCTGACAGATACTTTATGAATAAAGCTTTCTGTGGTCAAACTAGTTTGGGAAATTCATGACACTATATTGACACCATTAAAAGTTACAATGAATATTTGCAAGTAAAAAGCTCTGAGGATATCTAAGTTCAAGAAATCTTTAAATTTCCTTTAAATTCAAGTTTTCCAATTTACTTGACAGTGGAACTCTTTTAAAAACAATGAGTGCAAAACCAGTGTTCTAAGAAGTACATGTTAGCACGCACTCAATTAGGGGCCCCGGGTGGGCGGAGAGGAAGGGGCTCAGTCAGTTAAGCATGGTCGCTTAGGTCCTGATCTCATGGTTCATCCGGCTCTCTGCTGACAGCTCAGAGCCTAGAACCTGCTACAGAGTCTGCCCCTTCCCGCTCACACTCTGTCTCTTTCTCTCTCTCTCTCTCAAAAAAATTGAGCTTTCTAAATGTAAAATTATGGTATCCCATTAATTGGAATGATATAAGGCATTGGCCAGACAATGGAGCATGTTGTCTCTAAGTTTTCCATAATAGAATAAGCAATGGCTGGAAAATTGTATTCAAGAAGTATAGTTGTAAGGATTTCCAAACTGGTTAAAACCATTATATATTACCTTATTATATATCATAATAATATTATCAAGTAAATATCCTTATATTCATGTATTTGCATGTTCTTAGGATAAAATCTTAAGGAGTGTGCACATTCATAATTTTAATAAAACATCCTTCAAAAAATTATAACAATCTACGCCAAGATCAACAAATATTTAGAAAAGGTAGTGTGTTTCTCTCCAAGTCCCTATAACTACACCAACGAAGGTACCTATCCTTCTGAAAGTCTTCTGATCTGATAGTGGCTAAGCTGACCATCTTTCCACATATTTCTCTTTGATAAATGATTCTGTGACTTGTTTACTTATATCACTTATCCAAGGTTTAAAGTTTTTATTTTTTTTTAATTTGTGGATTCAACAGTTTCTTTTTAAAGAGCTCTGTGTTAAGGATATTAATATTTTATGGCAGGTTTTACAGTATAGCTTGCTTCTTGTGTTAGTTCAGGTTGTTAATTTTCCAGAGATGTTTTACATGTTTATGTATTTAAAGTTATCCTTTTCTTTATGGATCATGGTTCCGATATTTGCTTAATAACACCTTTCTAGGTTCATAAAGTAAATTCTATATATTTAAACATTATTTTATTTTTACTCTATTTAACCTATCTGGATATTGTTAGAATACAATATATCAAGAAAGTTATAACCAGTTCTAAGTCCAGACTTCCTGATAGCCTACTGTCCCAAGGATCTCAAACACAAACTTTCTATATGCTATACACTCATTTGTACTTGGACCAAATTTGAAGATATTATATTTTCTTCTGTTGAGTGTAATGTTTACTCTTGTTTTATTAATTCTCTCCTTTGATTACCGAGTCTTTAAAATACCCTTCAATAAGTTGTAGAGTAAGTTCCTCCTTATTACAATTTTATTTTTCTAAATCTTCTTGGTTATTCTCACACATTCAGACTTCCAAATAAACATTGTAATTACTTTGCCAAATCCCTATCTCCAAATTCCAGTCTCACCATATTTTCCAAATTGGAACTTTGATTTGCAATTGCATTCCAGTTGGGGAGCAATTCAGAGAGAACTGACATATGATATTATTGTTATGGAATCTTCCCATCATGATTGTGTGCTCATTCACGTGTGTGTGTGTGTGTGTGTGTGTGTGTGTGTGTGTGCCTTTAAGAAAAATGTATGCTTTCTTTCATTTATGCCCTTTGAAATTTTTGTTAATTTTTATTATTTCACCTTTAGCTTCTCCTAAGTTCTTATGTTTCCTCATTTATGACTATTGGCACACAGGAAAATTATTGATGAAAATAGTGGCTTCAGACCCAATCTTATTAGAAAAAAGTAGTAATTCTAGAAAATATTATTATTTGCAAATAAATAAATTGATCAGCTATGTTGCTGTTTATGAGAATTATCAATGTATGGGATAGATTAGAGATTTCACATTATTGTAATTGTCCTAATCGATTAGTATCATCATAGTCCATACTCAATTAGACACTAAACTATAGTAAAGACAATGGTATTTTTAATATCTTTATCTGTGATGTATACATAAGAATTTATACATTTATACTCTCTAGTATTTCTATATTTTTGCTTTGCTTATGTATGTATGCATGTGTATAACTGTATTACATTTTAAAAAATAGAGTTTACAAGGAACTGGCACTAATCAATTTTGTGATATAAAGTTACTAAAGTAATAACAATGTATTTATTAGGCTGGAGTAACAATGAGACCCTAAAATGTAATGGCTTAACACATGGAAATTTATTTCTTATTCATATGATATGAGATTTAATTACATACTTTAAAAGTTTTTAAGCACCAATTTTTTTTCTATATTTCAGACCAGTAAAGCAGGTGTTTCTTCTTGGAAAATGACCCTGCTAAATGTTTGCAGTTTTGTGAATAACCTGAACAGCCAGGCAGAAGAAACAGGAGACCTTCGTGAGGACGAGCTTATTTCAAGAAGGAAATTTCCCACTGCCTTAGATAACTTTAGCTTGGAAGCGATGTTGACAATATACCAGCTCCAAAAAATCTGTCACAGCAGGGCCTTTCAACACTGGGAGGTAAAGCAAAAACAGAATATGAATATAATTATCGTTATACTACTTAGCTCTCATTTGTACTGATTTTTTTCCACCCTGATCATTATCATAACAGGAAGACTTACAAATATTAAAAAAGAATAAACCATGTGTTGAGGTTAACATTCCTTCAGATCTTCAAAGTGTCCTTCAAATATTTGGAGTTTGGAAAAATATTTTTTCTTCAGTCTTAAAAGGGGGGTATATCTTAAGGCAGATTTGATCCACATGCTTTTATTGTGTTTAAATGAATGGCATACTCAGGCAATTTTTGGTGGTGGCGTGCCTACAAAATAAGAACTCAAAATGTGTTTTTAGAAACATTAAGTCATGTGTATTTTCTATAAACAAACATAAAACATAAAACACCAAAGGTTCAATTTGTATGTGAATATAATAAGCAAATAAAACTGGAAAATACCCATATATATATGCCATATATATATGTATATTCCTATTCCATATATATGCCATATATATATATATATATATATATATATATATATTTCAATTGAGTACATGGATTTCAGGCATCCTTAGCATCTAAATCAAGTCCACTAAGAGCCAAGACAGCCCAAATCCATTATACAGAACTACACTGTAGTGGATGAATCAGTTGTATTTAATACCATAGTAGTGATTTATTGCCTTTGGTTTTGGAATATTTGTTAGTTTGAAGAAGGAAAAGAGAAATAAAAATGCTTTACTTATTTATTTATTTTTATTCTTTTAATTAAAAAATTTTTTGATGTTTATTTATTTTTGAGAGAGAGACACACACACAGAGTGCGAGTGGGGGAGGGTCAGAGAGAAAGGGAGACACAGAATCTGAAGCGGGCTCTAGTGACTTAGCCGGTCACTGGGCTGAAACTCACTTACGGTGAGATCAGACCTAAGCCAAAGTGGGGTGCTCAACTGACTGAGCCACCTATGCACCCCAAAACGAAAATGCTTTAAAGAAAAATTTTTGTTTTTTAATTTCCCAACAAGGGTCGGGAGGCACATGGGTGCCTCAGATGCTTGAGCCTCTGACTCTTGATTTGGGTTCAGGTCATGATCTCACATTTTGTGAGTTCTGAGTTTGAGCCCTGCATTGGGCTCTGCGCTGACAACGAAGAGCTTGCTTGGGATTCCCTCTCTCTCTGCCTCTTCATCTCTTACACTCTCTTTCTCTCTCAAAATGAATAAATAAACATTTAAATAAGTAAGTAAATAAACAGATTTCCCAACAAAGGAAATTAACATCTAAGAGAGAGTTGCTTCATGTTTTATATTTTGACTTTACACTCACATTGGGAATCAGAGGGTGCCTTTGCTGCTAAAACAGCAATCCCTCTAAATGACTATCACAGATACTCTGCCAAAAAGAAGAAATGCAAGACAGAACTTCTAGTGTTTATTTTAACTTGTAAACAAAAAGATGTTTTCTAGATGAAAGACCAAAAAACCTAGCTTTAATTTTACTACTCACCTCTGAATTCTAATTCCAGCTAAGTAACTTAGTCTTTAAAATATTGTTTATATCAATAAAACTTGAAAAATGTTGATTTTAACATAGTGGAATGTCAATTGTGTGCTATTTATCCAGGAATTAAAAACAACTCAATAAACTATTATACACAAAAATCAGGTGCGAATAAGTTTAGAACTTTCACTTTTTTAAATGTTACTGAGTGATTTAAAACAAGACCTATAATATCATTCAAAACATAATACAAATTACAGATCGTGTTCATAGAGAAATGTACAATTAAGAAACTAGATTGTCTGACAGTAGCTCTTTTTCCTTCTCTGAAACTAAATAGCTGTGGGTTGCAATAAAGTACTTGGTGATAAGATTCAGTGCATATGTATCATAATTAAAAACTTCACCTCCTGGTAGTATTTCTTATAATGACCCCAAATTTAGAGAACAATCACAAGTACAAATGCAATTTTCATATTGAACATTTTTTAAAACTTCACTCAAATTATGTGTAAAATTCTGGGTAGCGTTCTTAAATATTTTCTGCTAGCTATAATTTGTGAATCACAACTATACCAGAAAGAAGTATTCAGAACCTACTTTTAGAATATGGCATATTTAATGACATATTAGGTAAGATTCTATGTGGAGATGAACTCCCTTAAGTTATTAAATCTGAATTTGCTTCTAATTATTAGGCACCACAATCTAAAGAGATCTTTACTATTTCACATGTGTTAATTGCTACAGCAACTAAACTAAACAGAGTAGGCAATCCTCTCTCTGAGACTAAGAAATGGATCTTTGGAATGGCTTTCAAGTCAAGTCAGTAATTAACCTCAAGAAATATAAAATCCTGTGGCCTTTCAAGGCCCAAACTGGGTTACAAAATTCAAAACTCTATATTTGTTGTGATTTATAATACATTTTCATAACATTTTAGTCTATCATAAAGTAAAGCCTGAACCATACTTGAAGATCTACTAGGTATGTTGCTTCAGTTGCGGGTATTAGTATGTGGCCTTGAACAGAGAATCGGAAAAACGACATTCTCATCCTGTCTCAGTCACTTGATAGTCATCTGTCCTTGGGCAAACCATCTGATTGCTTGAAACCTCATACATCTTATCCATGTATGTCTTATTGTCTGAATAGCAAATGAGATAAAATGTAGCAAAATACCCTGAAAGACATAGTTTGATTCATATTCTGCCTCTCTTGCAGCTAATTCAGGAGGATGTTCTTGATGCTGGAAATGACAAAGATGAAAAAGAAGAAGTTATAAAGAGAAAGATACCTTACATTCTGAAACGGCAGCTATATGAGAATAAACCTAGAAGACCCTACATACTAAAAAGAGGTTCTTACTACTACTGAGAGGATAAATATTTTATTTACATGTGATTGTGATTTATCACCCTTCACTTAAATATCAAGTTATATTTGTGTGGTAATGTGACAGTACACAACTATTGTGTCTTTCTGCAATTGTGGTTTATTGGATACGATTTTTCTGCATTAATATAAATTGGACTAAATGTTTTAAAATAAATCTAGATCTTGCGCATGATAATGTGTTGTGTATAATTGGAGTAGATATTAATTAAGCCACATGTAGAATGTGTTGTAATTTTGCAAAGCACTTAATGGGTTGTTTAAACAGTAAAAATGTTTGACATTTTAAACCAAACGATGAAGGATTATAATGGAGTCCTAAGGCAAAGTCTAACCTAAGTGTCATTAACCCAAAACAAAGTAATAGTACTTCTTTTATTATTTGATTTTTTTTTAATTAAAAGAACTACACATTCTTTTCCAAGACTCACACAAATCTTTCAGATATAGGGAAGGTTATAGTGATAAAATGGGTTCATCTTAAAAGGATGATTAATGAACTATTGTTAATTATGCTATTTTAATGAAGGCTCTTCACCTGAATTTGTCTTTCTGTTAAATAAACTTAATGGTAATAAAAAGCAATGAGCCATCAGAACCACATATTTCTCTGAAAATGTACTTCCATTAGAAGAGTTACCTTTTACTGACTTTTCCCCCTGACACACTTTGATCCAGTAAATGATAACTTTATTTTTAAATTCATTAGGAATTTGTGTGACTATTATTTTTTCCAAATAGAAATCATTCAAAAAAATTTTTATGTCTTTATTTTGAGAGACAGATACAGAGAACAAGTGAGAGGGGGGCAGAGGGAGACAGAGAGCAATTGGAGAAGGGTCAGAGAGAGAAGGAGACAGAATCTGAAGCAGGCTCCGGACTCTGAGCTGGACAGATGCGGGGCTCAAACCCATGGACCATGAGATCATGACCTGAGCCAAAGTTGGATGCCTAACCAACTGAGCCACCCAGGTGCCCCAGTAGAAGACATTTTTGAGCCAGAAGGAATACTTGAAATAATTCCTCATAAATTTCCTTTAAGACCATACTTACAGTCTCATAAGTCCTCACAGCCTATACATTCTGCCATTAGCTGCAGGTTTTTAGATTCTCACTGTTGGCAGTGTCTAGAAAGACTTCTCTTCACAAGGCTGCAACCTAGTTCATAGTCATCTGTGAGGGAAAAATCTCAGGATTTAAGTTGTGGAATTAAGGAGTCTTCAGAACTTCATGTACCTTTGATTAGATTGACCCGCCCCCAGACTAAATCTCCATTGAGTAGGATATAGCAGCAGCTGGAGTCTCTTGAGTTTTTCTGATAAAACCATGACTTTTAATGACCTCCACTCAACCATCTTTCACCATCCTATCAGGTTCAACATTAAAAAGTGCCCAAGGCCCTGATCCTAAGATAAAAACTACTTCTCAGTGATTAAGAGTACATAGTCTGGGGGAGCCTAGGTGGCTCAATCTTTAAGCATCTGACTTTGGCTCTGGTCATGATCTCACTGTTCAGTTTGTGAGGTTCAAGCCCCGAATCAGCTGTCAGCACAAAGCCTGCTTCAGATCCTCTGTCTCCCTCTCTCTCTGCCCCTCCCTGACTTAAGTTCTCTCTCTCTCTCAAAAATAAATAAATATTAAAAAGAAAAAAAAAGAGTACATACTCTGGAGTCAGAATGCCCAGATTCAGCTCCACTATTCACTAACACCCTTGGACAACTTATTTAAACTTTGCTTCTTCAACTATAAAATATGAATAATAATAGGGTTTGGAGGGGGACAAAATGGTCTCATATATGTGAAATGCTTAGAATGGAGTTTCGAATATATTCATGATACCCTATATTTAAGCAGTTCTTTTGGCCACTTTCATATCATTTTTTTTCTTTCTCTTTCAAAAACTACAGAGCATAACACAATTTCATTTGAATCTTCTGTTTTGAGCAACTACTGATCTCTTTATTACTTGCTTCATTCAATATCTTTGAGGACTTCCATGTATATGCACAAGAGACATCCAATAATCTCCTTCTTAGTGCCTGACATCTTCACTTTCAGTAGGAAACATTTTATCCAGCGGCGCCTAGGTAGTCAATTAAGTGTCAGACTCCTGATTTTGGCTCAGTTCATGATCTCATAGTCTTGAGTTCGAACCCCACAATGGGGTCCATGATGGGCTTTGAGCCTACTTAAGATTTTTTTTCTCTCTCTCTCCCTTGGCTCCTCCCCTGCTCGCTCTCGCTCTCTCTCTCTCTCTCACACACACACACACTCTATCTCTCTCAAATTAAAAAAAAATTTAAAAAACCACTGTATCCAGTTTATCATCAATCATTTTATAGTTATACCAAAGAACTTTTTACTACCAATACATTCAACCTCTCCAAAATCTCAATTATAAACATTCTACACTCTACACATCATCTTTTCACTCTGGTTCGTATAACCTAACACTCTCACTCTGACTAATCCATCATCTCAACTTCCTTCACTCTTCACCTTTTACTCATGCCCTTATATTGCTCTTTACTTGGCTTAGATTCTGTGGGCCAAAACTAAAATCACTGCCTGTAACCCTCAACATCCTGAAGGTTATCTTAAATGAGCCTATGAAAACACCCCATTAGAGACTACATGTAGGTAGGAATGGTTAAGTTTGAGCCAATGGGATATTGAGTAGGGGGAAAAATATGTTCAACTGGTGGGCCTTTTATAACTTAAACAGAAACTTCACTCCCTAAACATTTTTCCTAATGTTTTGTGTCTTGAATATGAATTGATTTTAGCATCATGAATGAATAGCATTTTCTTGAGGATGGCATTGATTGATAGAGCTTAATCCTTAAACAACTTTGTGGGGAAAAGCTGCCTCACCACCCTGGGCCAGCAAGACTAGTACTTGAAAGAGAAATGCATTCTAACTTAATAAAGTCACTGTATTTTTTAACCTTGTTGATACAACATCACAATCATTATTTTAATTTTTATGGTCTTTTTCAGGCCTTCTCATGGTTTATTTCTTCACATCAATCAGATCTCTGCACTTATGATATATCCTGTCTTAAATAACCTTCATTCATCAGTCAATATCTCTACTTGTTATATATATATTTTTTTTAATATTTCAGAAAGAAAAAAAAAAGTCAAGGACAGTCATAACATGGGACCTGGGCTGGCACCAACAGCTAAGCCATGGGTTTATCCTGTTAAACATCAACAATTTCACTGAACTAAAACTTTAGATGGGGTCCCTCTATACTGTGATGGCACAAGACAATCAACAAACCTACTCTGAGCAAATAATGTTGGAGCAAAACAAAAACAAGAGCACTATAAGCCACAAAAATGATCAAACATCCTCCTTTACCACATAGTTTGAGTGATCGCTGCTTCTTTACCAACTATTGCATTAATTTTGCCCTGTTCTTCCACTTGCTGGATAAAAACTATTATAATACCTAAACAGAATTGCTCTCGCTTTCTGAAAACACCCAAACCTGAGCAAAACCATACTTCTGGAATATTCCCCAAAGCACTTAGCACAAGCCCAATTCAAACCCTCTTATTGAGAGGCCACATGATTTCCCAAAGAATGAGATCTCCAGTATCAGTAAACCCAACTTCATTTGTGCGTATTTCCAGAGTCTTTGACTGGTGGGCATCGGCACAACACATAACATAACCTGGAATTATTAGTCATTTATTTATTTGTTTATAGTATATCACTCTTACTAGAATGTGTTCTGTGAGGACAAGGATTTGGTCTTCCTTATTCATCATTGAATCCCCAAGGTTGAGCACTAGGCTTGGTAAGAATAAGCAAGGGTTGGTTTCATGAATGAATAAATTAGCACCCAAAGGACTCTTTCTGTTATAACAATAGGGATTAGACCTAGTTTTTACAGATTTTGAAGTCCTAAATTAGAGATTACATTTCAGAAGGATGAGTTTGAGCTCAGGTGTCTACAAGAGGTCCCTGGTCTGACACGAAACAACAGTGAATCTGAGATGTTGAAGCTCACATTCACTTACAAGTGGCAGCTTGGGGAGGATGCCTCTCATTTTTTGCCAATGCTGCTTTTCACAGAAATAGAAAAAACACCCCTAAAATTCACAGAAAACCACCTTCTTCCTTGCAATACTCAAAGAAATCCTAAAAGAGAACAGAGCTGAAGGTATCACACTTCCTGATTTCAAATTATGTTACAAACTATAGTGATCAAAACACTATGGAATTATAAAAATAGACACATAGACCAACTGAACAAAATCAAGATCTCAGAAATAAACCACGAGAAAAGGCTGAATTAGACCTATAAATACAGACAACAAACTGATGGTTTCCAGAGGAAAGAGGATAGGAGAGATGGGCAAAATGGGTGAGGGGAGTGGGAGATACAGGCTTCCAGTTATGGAATAAATAAGTCATGAGAATAAAATGTACACCATAGGGAATATAGCTAATGATATTGTAATAATATTGTGTGGTGACAGATAGTAGCTTCACTTGTGGTGAGCATAGCATAATGTCAGAGAAGTTGAATCACTACGTTGTATATCTGAAACTAATGTAACATTGTGTCTCAACTATATTCAAATAAAAATAAGTTAATAATAAATAAATTAATTAAAAAACACAAATAAACCATGTGCATATAATCAATTAATATTTGATAGGAAAGCCAAAACTACTCTATGGGGAAAGGGTAATCTCTTTAATAAATTGCACTGAGAAAACTGGATATTCACATGCAGAAGAATGAAAATGGATCCCTATCTTACACAGCCCACAAAATTAACTCAAAATGGATTAAGACTTAAACATAAGACCTAAAACCACAGGTCTGTGAGAAAAAAAACATAGGGAAAAAGTTCCTTGACATTGATCTTGGCAATGATATTTTGAATGTGACACCAGAAGCACAAGAAACAAAAGCCAAAGCACAATAGTGAACTATACCCAACTAAAAATCTTCTGCACAACAAAATAAATAATCAACAAAAGAAAAGGCAACCTATTGAATGAGAGAAAATATTTGCAAACAGTATATCCAAAATATGTAAGAAACTCATTTAACTGAATAGCCAGAAACACACACAGAAAGAAAAAACAAAAC